AATGCGGATAAAAAAATGAAAACATTTGGCGGAAAACAAAGAAAATTATCTGACCAGATGCCCGGTTTCCCTGCCTTCCCTTCCCGGGGGAACATAAAAATAAAATAAAAACCAGGGGTCGCACCAGTGACAAGTGACAGTTTTTTTTGGCTTGTTTGTTTGCCGGCCGAATTGCGTCTGATATGGCGGCCTAATTTGACCTAGGCTTTTATTGTTTGCCCACGGACATGGCGTCATTATCTTCTGGCATTTTCATGCCCTCCCCGCTTGTTTACACGCACCTTTAACGTGTTTATTTGGCCGTAAGGCAAACTAATTGAAACACACGGGGCGTATACTTATTGTAATGCCCGTGGGCGTGTCACGTTCTGCGTGCAATCAGTGGGCGCCTTGGAACCCACTCGTTTGCAATTGCAGTGCACTTTTAGGCTGCATTCGGGCCTCAATGCCAGCAACCAAAGGCTGAAACAACAGCAATTGGGTGGGGTTCACCATCCGCAGTCAGTAGTCCATAGTCAGTAGTCTGTAGTCTGTAGTCCGTAGTCCTCGTCATCGCCTTCAACATGCTCGTAGCACCATCATCATCCGCGTTCAGAGGTCGGGGTTCAGGTTCAGTCTGAGGTTGAACCGCGCCGAGTGAGTGAGTGAGTGCCATGGGCGGCAACTTGTTTACCTGCCTGTGTTTTAATGAAATGCAAATGCAAACACAAGCCATGAAGTACCATGGGCGGGATAAACGCAAATATGGGTTAAGGATAAACTTAAAATTAAAACCTCTAACCATTTTTCCTTTTGCTTACCATCTAACCTATTATAAATAATTTTTTTAGTTGAAATAAAATACTTTTAATAAATTTAACACTTTACTTTCACATAAAAAAATAGTTTCCATATAAGTCATTTAAAACATGTATTATTAGTTCACAAAAAATATAATTTAATTTTTTTTTTTATCATAAATGATAAATTCTGATCCATTATGTATTAAATTTAACGAAACAAAAAAAATGTTCAAGCGTTTTTTGATGAAAAGTTGTTTGCTGAATAAATTCAGTATTCATAAAAGGTACAAAAAATGTATGTAGTTGATTTGAAATAAATTTATTTTAAAGACAAATATTTACCTTTTCAAATGAATAAAAAAAATTGTTTTTTCTGAGCCCCTAAATTAAGGATGTTTTGATTTGGTCTAGTGTATTTGGTATAAGGTAAATCAGCACTGTTTGTTTTCATAAGCTTGCTCTATGGCTTCGTAAGATTGATTGCTTCTATAAATCGAAACAAATGGAGAGAAGTCTCCGGAATTTAAGGTAAACACCCCACAGTGCGCACCTGTCCGCTCCCCCCTCCGTTTTTACCTGCCCCCTCGTAAGGTAATTTTTCTTGGCCCGCCTGCAATGGCACTTAGTGGTAATGGGGTTACTGCCAAGGAGCCGCATTCGCTTTGAAAATGTCCCTGATTTGCTACGCAAACACTTCAATTTCCGTGACAGATGACAATTTGCCACAATAGCACATTGCAGTGCAATTAGATTTAATAAATTTACAAATCACATTTGGTCGCCATTAAATATGTATTTATCATAATTTTATTCATGTTAGTATGGGCTACAATGTTCAGTGTAAATCACATAAATAAATTGGCAAAAGATTTCTTTATGACCGCAGTGGGATGATGTTGTTTCGGCCATCAAGTTGACTTTGCCATCGAGGTCATAAAAACAGATTTAAACACAATTTCGAAATTGCCTCGGATTGGCCATCATTCGAGCTGGATTTTAAACTGTAATTTGGATTTGCATTAAGTTTATGACAATGCATTAAACTAAATACTCCTCATCGATGCCATCGAAGGTGTGGCAGTGGAAATTGAACGTGACAAACTTATGAAAAGCGCTAAAACATGTTGGCTTAAGCTCTTTTTTTATGATGAATACCAAAAGGGGATTTTTAGGTAGTAAAAGGAGACATAAAAACCTTTTAATAGTGTATTTTCTCTTACCATACCATATATTTTAAATAATTTTAAAAACACATTGAATATTTAGAAATGATGAGCTAATTGCTCCATTATTATTAACTTAGGCAAGGGCAATTTAAAACTTTCGGCCAACTTTAAATTGAACTCCATCATATTAAATTAAAGCTAAATAAAACTTTGTAATTCGAGTTAAGTACACATTAAAGTTAAAGCCCAAGTATTTAACTTTCGAAAGTCAAACCGTCAAGGATAACGTCAAATACTCGCATCCTAAAGTCGAACTCGAAAAGTTGAAAACTTTTCCAATTCACTTAGTTCATTAACGTGATTCATCGGCAAGTGAGTTTGGGCAACTCCACAAATGGTAATCAACTGGCATTGATTGCTCCTTTTTTTCCGTGTGTCCTGATTCTGTGCCAAAATCTCATCTCGATTAAAGCTTTGGATTGCAGTACGCAATTGACCTTGGCCGGAAACTAGAGAGGAATATTTTTTTGGAAGGCACAACTCTTTGGTAACATATCACTCAAGTCAAGTTTTCCCCCCGAAAAGTTGCCATGAATAACTTGTGAATTTCTTTGAAAATGACTCTCTCAAAGGCTTGGGAAAAGCAGAAGTTTCCTTTGCTCGCGTTTGACATGCAGAAAAGGTCGTCCGTCCCACACTTGAATTTAATTAAAAAAGAATTTGTGCTCTAAACTTTTAAGCTGCAAAGGCTGCAGTTATTTACCCATTATCCCAGCTGATACAAATTAATTTATAAGTTCGGTCAGGTCTGCTGATTTAACGATTTATGTCGATAACTCAATTTGGCTACCTCATATTTTATTCCAACGCCTGGCTACGTTTTCATTAATTTATTACGGCCAGCGGCGACTGATTTCACTTTAATTCAATTTGTATGTACCAACAAACAACATCACATCGGCAACACCATCGAGAATTCGTATTTATTTCAGGCACACGATTTCCAAACCGTCAACAGCCCATGGGCCATGATGTCGGGACAAAGTCACTTAGCTGCTTATCTTCTCGGAACTAAGCCAAATCGCCCTGAAATGGAGTGGGCGTGGCACATTGTGTCTGTTTTTCTTTTTTGGAGGGGAAGGACAAAGAGTCACGCATCAGGGAATATATATACTAGTATGCACGACAAATTCATTATAATTTTGCCTGCCCAAAAACCTCGACGACTTGAGTTTTCCTGCGTGCGTGCCAAGACATACGGCAAACGTATTTCCTGCCATCCTGCGGTTGTATTGGTGGCACAAACACAGGCAGAGCTCTCACCCCCACACGCACAAGCGAAAACACTCACTGATCCAATATGAAATCAGTTTAAATGCGCCCCAATGTGTCGTTCCTGGATTATGATTGCCAACGTTTGCGGCTGCCCCGAGGGCGGCTCCAAATGTAATGGAAGATTTCCTATTTTTGGCTGTAGTAAGGCAGGAAATTTATGGGAAAAATTAAAGTAGGGCTATAGGTTGCCAAAGTTTATAAGAACTTATCCATTTAATTTGATTTAAAATATGTTTAGTCTAGGATATAAAGCAATTTATTTATTTGCAAACTCCCATTTTCAATTCAATCCATTAGCCTTATTCTAGCTTATTTATTTAATTTTTATTAAATATTTTAAACATGAATAATCATAAATCCATCACATAATTATTATCTATTATAAATCAAGAGCTTTTGTTTATATGCATATTAAATCTTTTGCCAGTCCATTTGCACTTCTAATTAAATATTTCATTTGGACTATGTATTTTGTTTGCAAAATAAACTAAAGTAAAGGCAAAAAAAATAATTGCATGTCTACAAAAACTTTGAAGTTTTTCTTCCAGCATTTTTGATTTATGGATTAAATTTTATTTGATTAAATCATAATAAAGTTAGTTTATAAACACCATTAGAGAAATTGCATTTGCATGAATGTTTAGTTTCAATCTATATTATATGGGTATTCCAGCCATTCGATTTTATTTGTTGATTACCCAAAATATTTTCAATTCAGCTGCACATAATAAATGGGCAAAAATAAAGGATTGCTGCTACTGAGTGGGCTGTAGATAAGGTATAAAGTCCCGTGGTTATTATTTAAATAAATACAGATCATCTGCTGAATACATAAATACAAGTTTGTTTAAGAGCCAGAGAGAAAAGCTTCAGAATTATGCCTTTTTTCCGTTGCCACAATGTGCCCATGGCCATGGCCAGCGAAAAAGTATTCTTTATTCTTCAGGCGCTGGCGGAAAAAATGAGGGAAAAAATACATTCTCGAATTTTTAGCCTTAGTTTTCTGCCTGCTTTTCTTTTTTTTTTAGCAAAGGATCTGAAAAGGAACCCTGTGCTTGTTCATGTGTGTAAATGGGAGCATGTGAGTGTTTTCCAGCAACTGTGTGAGTGCGGCATTATGTGCCCTGGCATTTTTATGGCACTTTAACTTTATGTTGAGTAATTCCCGGCTGAAAGGCCAGAGTCAAGGACCCAGGCAAGTGTGGCCGAGACCATGATAACCGTTTTGTAGGGGCCATTGAGTGCGGGTTGGGTCCTCGACGTGGGCTATTGAATTTATTAATTGCTTAATCATGATCCGGTTTACAATTTTCCATCAGGTACAACGCCCTTATCCATCAATACCTGAACGGGTTCTGTGATGGGGTTAAGGTTCATTTTCGTTTAGCCAAGAAATGCTTTTTATTGAAAATCTACTGAATAAATTCTTTGCTTAGTTTTCAGTTTAATTAATCCAACAATGTACTTGTTTTTTACCATAAATAAATGTTTTTACTTGCCTCTGATATTTAGTATAAGACGGAGAAAAAATCTAAAGCAAGCATAATGACGGCCTTAAAATAGTATATTTATTAAAAGATCTAATAATTTATTTTTGCCATAACTTAATAATTTTTGATTTATTTTATCATACAAAGAATTACATTTTTACATATTTCTTAAACTTATTATTAAAGAATAAATTAAAATAACCTTTAAGGGTATAGGTAGTTTTTATTTCTCCAACTTAAAATTAAAGATAGTACATGATTTATTTCTCATTTATTCGTTGGGGAACTCCATGTTGTATTCGCGTTTGAGGATGAACTTCAAATCCAACAGGCCCACCCGGCTTTTTCGGAACTGTGCCAACTTGACCATGCGCATGGAGACATCATCGGCGAATGAGTCGGCAATTTTGGCCAACATATCGCTGCCCTGATCGTCCAGCGAGCAACTACCGTCGATTTTCTGCACAAACTGCAGCAGGTGGCTCTTGGATATTATCTGGGTGGGTGAAAAAAGCGGCTCGATTAATACTTCTTAATGGGGAAAGTCGTTACTCACATCATAACTGCCTTCTTGGATGGGGATGTTCTCCATTTCGCTGGACTGGGCCATCTCGTCGGAACTATCGCTGCTGCTCTCGCTGGAGCTGCTCGAGGACCTGGTCGAGAAAGGAGTCTCGTCTTCGGACGATTTATCGCTGTCGTCGTCATCCCGGCCAAAGGACCAGAGGTCCTTGTTCTTTCTCTCCATGCTTCAATTAATTTCTTGCGTTTCCTCGATTATGCCACAAGGAATAGGTGAGAAAGTGAGCAGAACTAGTTGGGAATCATAGAGAGCTAGAGCAAAAAAGCTTTGCATACTTTTAGGTGTTTTAACAGGATTTATAAAATTTTACTCATTAAAAAAAAACTATCATTTAGCGTTGGTTATTGGAACTTTTTTGTTCTCTTTTGAAACTGGAAAACCCTGCTGCTCGGGAAAACCCCAGACTCAACTCTTCGCCCATGGACCTGCCATAAATAACCAGTTCAAGTCGCACTCTCTGCACCTGAAGGCTCGCCATTATTGCCGCAGCGTTTTCCTTTTCCGCTAAGGCTTTTCCTCTACGGGTTTTCCACCGTCTTGTGCCTTTGATTTATGTCCCAACTCGACTGTGCGCTTTACATTTCACAAGCGCCGCGACTAAGTAAATATCAAAAAGCAACAAATTGTGGCCGTGCCATAAACGACCTTTGCCTAAACCGAGTCTTAGAAACGTCGTCGTCGTCGTGGCTTAATTTTATGCCAGGTGGGTCGGAACAAGGCCAGTCAAAACAACAGCCCACACGTGCCCAGGTGTCCTGCCGGCCTATTATGCCGCTTGTTCTTTTCGCACACGGCCAAATGCACAGTGGGAATTTCACTCGGGCGAAGCGAGCAAAATTTAGAGCCACCTTTGGAGTTGCTGGGTGAGCTGAAAATTAAGCCAGAGCTGTAAACTGATTTTAATGTGAGATTTATATTCATATATAAAATATTTTTGATGCTAAGGAGTCATGCATTAAAGAAAAAATTTAAATTGATATTCTATAAATTTATAAAAATAAAATTCATTTTTAAGTTACCATAAAATATTAATAAACATTCGTTTTTTGGAAAAATGCATTTAATAAGTATCAAAATTGAAGAACTTGTCTTGTAGTCTAGACAGCTCGAAGAAAAATGTAATATGGATTAATATTGCATATTTTGATCTTCAAAATCTGGGCTCTTACAGAAATATCTTATGGATTTATTAACGGTTGATTTGAAAACCAACGAAAATATTTGTTGATTTCATTTGTATAAAATTAGATGGGTTTTAAAAAATTAAACATACTCTTTATTTTATTTTACGACGTACTTTCAATTTGGTTTAAAATTGTATAGAAAGAAATTTATGTGACACCTCAGCATAAGTCCCTTTGGATTTCTAAAGGATTTATTATAAAAAGTATTCCCTTTTTTATGTATTCTTCTAGTCCCATAGTAGCCAGTTTTGTCATTCCAAAATGCTGTGCCATTTGGCCACTTTGGAGGTGCTCCTCGGTGTCCTCGGCTTAATAAAGTCGCCTACTTAAAGCGAGCGACAATGACATTGTGCGTATGTTCCCAGTCGGCGGGGGGAGATGGGTCGGGGGTCGGGGGTCGGGGTCACCCCCTGGCCATGTGTCACACATCCGCATCCGGTGTTTGGCATTGGCATTAGGCTTTCCACTTTCCCCCATCCCCTTTCCACTTTCCCCTGCCGACTGTCGTTTGCCGTTTCCGGCATGCGACTCTTTTTATATCGCCGCTTTTATTTGCTCTGTGCACTTTTCTAGTCCTGTCCGCTCATTGTGGCTGCCTCTGCCTGATTTCTGTTTCATATTTTGCTCGGTGGCCTTATGCACAGGGAGCAAAAAGCTGGCGACGTTTAGCTTTAAGTGGGGCGAGTGCCATAAATTTCACTTTGTCAGGGTCTTTAATCGCCCAAGCTCCAATCAGGCAGTCTTTGTGAGGGCTTGAATGGAACTTGGCTGCTTGGGAAAGGTTAACTGTCGTTGGGAACACGAGAAAAAGTTCACGAGACTTATGGGGAATTTATAAGCTCCTATGGAATATTTAAAGATTTTAGTTGTGTAGAAAAAACTATATGTGGCTTGAACATTATACACACATTTTAATATTTCAATTCAAAATCATTTGATTCATTTAAGGCCAAAACTTCAATGTTTCTAAATATTAAATACTATTTTTTAGAATTTTTCGATACAACAAAGGGCTGAAAAGATATTCCTTCCTTAAAGTACTGTAAAAATGTAACACATCATACACTTAACGCAAATGATATGCTTATGGAGTGCTAATTTGCTGTCATACTCGCATGAAAAATAACAGCCTTAGTTGCCAAAATGTTTGAATTAATCACACATTTGTCAAAATTATTCAAATGTCTTTTGTGGCACAGGGAGTGAAAGTGTGGCTGACTGAATGACTGTGCCTGTGTGCGGACATGAATAGTTAATACAAATGCGGTGGCTTTAGTCAGTTCCACCCACTCACTTTTCTCCGGAGAATGTGTCTGTGTAATAAAGCTAATGAGTTTCTGCCATGTCTGGCAGAGTGTCGAGACTGAGGGGCTAATTCCCACTCATATGCCAGCCGAAAGACAGAACATGCACTCGCAGAATGGTTTTATTTCAGATGATTATGGCATTCTGTTGTTAGGGATATACCACATACAAATAACAACTGCCTAAGTCATCATTACGTATATTGCGTATACGACACAGTGGCATACACAAAATTGATTTAAATCGCGTCAGACACTGCGCACACAGACAATTAAACAGAACTTGCTACGCATTTGCAGATTTGCCTTAATGTTTCATAAATGCAAAAAGCAAAGCATTTTAATTTCTTTTTTCCATTTAAGTTTTTAATTACACTTAGCACGGCAGCAACAGGAATGAAAATGGAAATGGAAATAAGCACAAGATGGGGATGAGCTGAAATCCTTTAATAGGCGGCGCGCCATTTTGTCGCCAGCATCGTCACTTAATCCTTTCGCGGCATATTTTGCAACGCGCCGTGACTTAATGAGGCGCATTTCCATTTCCATTCCCATTCCCATTCCCATTTCCATCTCCATTTCCATGCCGAGCACGCAGCTCGGCCTTCCACGCTCGATGGCAAACAATGCGGATCCTTCCGGGAAAAGTGAAAAGTGTGTGACTCTAAGCCCACGGACACACACGCCTTATCAGTTGCATTTACGGTGGGCCAGGCATAAATGGGGATTCGCATTCAGGTGGCTAAAGCTCACTTTGTTGGCCAGAAAGTGTGAAAATTTAATTCTCCAACAGGAAATTAATTTCGTTTCCGTTCTAAAATTATCCTGTCAGGCTAAGTTAAATTGTCAAAACAATTTAAAATTGACTGGAAAGAAGGGGAAATTAATAAATAAAAGGAAGGATTGATTTGATTTTTTAAAGATTTTATCAACATTTGATTTTAATTATAGTAACATATTTTTATATATTTATTTTTCCATCTTTTTTCCATGATTTCTTAAATTTATATTTCCCATCTTCATTTCCAATAAGTAAGGCGCTTTAAGTGCATCGAAGCGTGAGAAATATTTTGGAATTAATGAAAACTAATTGAATTATGGCCCTGCTGCACTCTTTTCATGCCCACTCGAATGATATCCCCTGAAATGTATTCAAAACCCTGGCCCAAGGCCTGTTCAAAGCTGTTTGTGTTGGTAAATTGAGCGACTTGACTGGCACAAATCAAACACGGACTGCAGGCAGCCAGACATCTTCCACTCATCCATCTACTCGGCATCCATCTCCTCGCCATCGCAAACAATTTACCTTGGGTCTTAGCCTACATTATTTGTTTGCTTTGCTTTCCTGCGCTGGCTTTCAGACCTTTCAGCTGATGCAGCTGGCTCAGTTATGCTCAGTTGTTTTCCTTTTAATGTAATTTCATCGTTTTATGGAGAAGATGTGCTGGCAAAGGTCAGAATGGCAGAGGAGGTTGCCAGAGAACCAAGGGACTACAATTATACCAAGAATATTAAATTATATTTCAAAGGGAAAATGCAAGGAGTTTTAATTTTATGTGTTAAAATATTTAAAAGTATTTGTACAATACTTGTTAAAATATTTATCAGATATTTTGTATCTGAGAAAATAATTAGGTAACATAAACAATTCAATCGAAGGTCAAATGAATAAAAGGCTTTTTATTCAAAATACATTGGTTAATCTTCACTAATTTATTAGATCAATGCCAGAAGCAAAGTAACCTGCGTTATTATTTATTTATATTAAACGATCGTGTTCATTCTAAGAATCAATTCAGAGTTCCAGCCACAAAAGCTACATCTCTCATGTTTTTACCAAATATTCGGTAGTGTTGCTTTGTTCTAAGTATGTATTTTGGCTTAAGAGACCGCAAACATTTATTTTTGTTACCATAATATCAAAATAAGTTCTTAATAGTAGAACTAAAGATAATAATGCTTAAGGCATCCAGAACTTCTGTAGCCACCCTCTCGGTTGATCTAGCTGCTGTTGTCTTGCATATTTTTGCTGCACCAAGAGTTGAATTTAATTTCATTTCGCTTGACTAGGGCTCGACCTTTGTTGACTGCTTGTTTATTTGTGCGACCCGAAGGGTGCGGAGGGCAGGGGTTAAGTGGAAACAATCCTGTGGCCACCTAGTAGCCAATTCCGCCACTCAAAGCCAAATGAAGTGTTAACGCCCAAAAAAGCCAAGAGCGTTCGGTTGCCAACTGTCGCATCCGTTGTGGATGTTGTTTTATGCCTGAGGGATAAAAAAGCGAAGCCACCAACAAAAATCGATGGGATGGCAGGAAAAAACCAAAAAGAACTCAATATGCAAAACTAAAATCCCCGATTGAATCGATTGTGGCGACGATGGTGAAGTGACGTGCCGGAAATCGCCGATGCCACAATGCACAATTCTCCACCTTTTACATTTCCGGCGATTCCGGAAAGGCGTGCAAACGCGTTCCGGTGTCGCTTGATTTTGCATATATGCAATTTGATCTCAATCCCACTCAATCACTCAATCTATCATACTTTGTTATTTGTCCGGCTTCCGCAGGTGGTCAGCAATCCAGGTGATGTGATTGGAAATAAGCGAAGCTAAGTGCATCCATCTGCATTTGCCAATTTGCAATTTGCGAGTTGAGCGGCCGTCTTAATGGCTTGCCTCGATTTCGAGGACAAATAGCGA